TTTCTAATTGAAAATGAAGCCTCTTAATCCTTCGACAAACCCCAAGACGAACACTCTGTCGAGAATCCTGCACATACCAAAAACTACGCTCCACCAACTCCTTTCGAGGATCTTTCTCGAATAGCTAGACTAGCTCCGACTTTTGGCAGCTATGTATCACTTAGTAATTTAACCTTTTATTTTCCTAATTTAAAAAATTAGCATTTTTTATCTGAGTGCACACGGGTGTTAAGTTTTAATTAATTTAATTAATTTATCTTAATTAAATTGTGATTGCCGTCCAACGACTCCAGGTTCACGTGAGGATATCCATAGGTATACACCCTAGCGTTCTAACAACGTGAGCAGGTAATATAATTATATTTATCTTTAGTTATTGATTTTGTCACCATTCTCGGATTCACGACTCCAAAACCCTTTTAAACATAGGAAGGAAGGTAGTAATATAACTAGTAGGCTGAACTTTTATTATGATTAAAGATAAATCACTCTTTGTAGTACCACTCCTTTAAATTTCATTCTTTGTAGGTGATTATCCTATAATTTCAAATATATTTGTCTTTTATTTCTATACTTAGTGTCCTTAGACTACTACTATCACCTTAACCATGACTCTCTTTTTTATTTTACCCCATTTAAACCAGGTTTAACTCCTCTTATTTGCCCCCCCTTTTTTTATTTTTCCTATTTTTTGTAATACTACAGGATATAAATTTCCTTATGATCTTAATCCATATTTCATTCTACAAAGATATTTAAAAGATGTCTGAAATGAAGTCTATAAGTTTAATCGTGGGATATGACCACTAATCAAAGGACGTAAAAGTTATTGTATGTTCACGTAATCGACAATGCAATTCAATGCGAATCTTCAAAATTAAGTGTAATTCANATCTTAATCCGTATTTCATTCTACAAAGATATTTAAAAGATGTCTGAAATGAAGTCTATAAGTTTAATCGTGAGATATGACCATTAATCAAAGGACGTTAATGTTATTGTATGTTCACGTAATCGACAATGCAATTCAATGGGAATCTTCAAAATTAAGTGTAATTCGGTGGAATTGTTTTTTTGTAATCTTTAAACAGTTGGTTTAACTAACTATTCATTAATAATTCCAACTCTAAGTTATAATTTTATACTTATTCTAAATAAAGAATTAACATAAAAATTTAAACAAACTACTTACTTTTGTTTATTTCCAGATTAATAGAGGCTATGAGAAGCAATAAAAATGATAAAAAAGGTAAACGTAAAATGAAAAAAAAAAAAAAGACTAAAAAAGATGTGAGAGGTTAAGAGAATTGTAGACCTACCAGTGA